CTTTTTAAAAACTGATATTCCAGAGAGAAGAAACTAGAAAATTGTAAGTAATACCTTACCACTATAGTTGTAAGATTATTTGCTCATCTACTACCTAATTAGATGTTCCATCACATCAGATTTAAGACCATTTATCTTTCAAAAATATAACATTGAGATTATTAGTTTAAAAGAATTTGCCTCTGGTATTTTCATCTGTGCGAGTAACTCCTTGGCTCTTTGCTAATGCAGAACCTCGTTGCTAAACTTGGAGTTCAGAGGATCACAGGCATTGCTCTTTTCAACACAAGAGAGGAACAAACATACGACCCTTTGCCAGATTTGGAGGTTAGGTTCTTTTTTTCTCTAAGAAAAAAGTAGTTATGTTAGGTATCCATCTGCTTTGTCACCCTTTCATCCAGACACATAATGCTGCTAGATTTTTAATGTGCTGTATTTGCCATCTAAACTACAACACCAAATGCTTTTGGTTGTCGTTCTGTTCTAACCAGTCTTCTGGACTGTTGCAGATTTTTGTAAGGACCAAGCCAACCATCTACAAGCCTTGAAACGTAGTTTTTTTTATAGTTTCCAAATCTTATAGTTGCATCTGATTTCTCTTCATGCTATACGGCGTTTCTGTGTAAGTGGATTGTACTTGTAATTAATAGTATAAATTCAATTAGATAGGTATTTACCTAATCAGCAACTAGCTTATTTGTCTGCACACTTTCGGTTTCGGATTTATAGATAGGAAGCCTGCTTTTTTATACTCCGCACACAAAACGTAACTTATGCATGTAGCTCCTTTAGTTTGCTTCATTTTCCAGTAACAAGTAAAATTTAAGAGCATCATATCAAAACTGCAGAAGAAGAGAAAGAAAGGCTCTGCACACGATATGAACAAGCATGATTCATGAGAAGGAGCTTCCATATAGTCTTTGGTGTGAAGCAGTGAACACATCAGTGTATCTGCGTAATAGAAGTCCTACCAAGGCTTTGGAGAATATTACGCCGTTTGAGAAATTCAGTGGAAGAAAACCTAGGATTAAACACCTGAAAGTGTTTGTTAGAGAAATAGAATCCTAGCAGGTATGGAAGAGAATATCAGGAAGTATATGAGAGAAGAGGAAAGGAAATAAACCAGAGAAAAACGATTAGAAGAATTCTTCTGTATTCTGTTTCTGTATTGAGCACTATCTGTCAGAGCCTATTAGCTCACTCACACACACAATGAAATAACCGTTGGAGGAGAGAGAGAGTTAGACATACTCCTAACTTCAATCTCAGCCATCCATTACATACCCTTAGATTAGGATACTTGTCCATTGCCAAGCCCTATGAGACTTAACCAACCGATACAATTCAAATATTTATAACTCAGCCTATGAGCTGAGGCCCAACCCACAAAGCAAACTACCAATCAGTTCACTAATTTATACACTAACAGTAAGCAACAAAACTCCTTTACTCCTCGTTAGGACTTCTCCAACCCATGAGGGGCTAAACTCAAATTTCCTCCCTCTAAAAAGTGACTATATAGGTTTTGCCCGGACTCAAATTGTTTTTTTCCAACCCTAAGGACTTAAATTTTAGGTCCGCAACTTTATTAAATTGTTTAAGAATTGTTTAAGTCTTATTTTTTTTTTAATGGATAACTTTTCTTCATTTAATCTTTTTAAATAACATCATAATTTAATTTTTTGAACAATTTGACTTGAAAAAAAGAAAAAGCAAAAGGAGAGAGAAAAATTTTAAAAGAAGCAAAAATGGACAAAAATGCCCTTATTTATTTTTAGATTTCCTAAGGAATCCAATACATTTGCATGTCTTTGATTTGAAAGTTGAGTGGTTTTTTTGTCTTTTTTGAAAAAGCTTTGGCTTTTTCCAAAAGTGAAATTTTTTTTATGTCTAAAACCTAAAAAACCTATTAATTTAAAATATTGTTTTGACCATTGGATTTAAGTTTCAACCGTTTGATCTTTTTTTTTTTTTACCATTAAAATAGTTTATATTTAATCTAGATAATTGATTTAAGTTACATTTAGAATATAAAAATAATAATAATAACCAAACAGCAACAACAGCTTGACAAGTGGCGGGACAAGCTGACAAACTTGAACAGGTCAGCTGGGGCCCACGTCAAATTCTGTGCACATGGGGCTGTTTTAGGTGTAGTAGACTCCATTGAATAGTGTTGGGTCCAGACAATACTTGGACCTATATTTGGGTCCAAATTTGGGTATTCCCAAATTTTGGGTCCTTCATTTTCTTGGATTGGGAGAGGATTTGGGCAATATTTTGAGTTTAAGTCCTTGGGTTGGAAATGGCCTTATAGTGAAAATCGAATACACCAAAATTTTCTGATGGGTTGATGTCATGTCAGGAAAGAAAGAAAGGAGTCTGATATCTGAGCATGAGAAAGCTTGTACTGATAAAATTTCTAAATTGGAAAAGTCCTTGAAAAAGAAGAAGCACGGAGTACCCCTCTCTCTCTTTCTCTTCCTTGAAAATAAAAAGAAGCAGCTTGTACTGATATCTCCATGTATATATATTTGTGCAAACATGTCTCAAAACCACATTTTCTGTTTATAAACTCAGGATGACAGAACTTGCAGCGAGTACTTCAGAGGAGGACATCCCGGCTGATGATCGAATGAACATTCTACTGTTTGAGCTCAAGTCGAGGGCTAGACTCTGTTTTAAAAGAAATATTACAGCCAGGCGGCTATATCGGTTTTTTCAATTTTTTAAAGAAATAGTATAGCCGCTCGGCTATACTAGGTTTTTCCAATTTTTTTAAAAGAAATAGTAAAGCCGACCGGCTAGACTCTGTTTTAATTTTTTTAAAAAAAGAAATAGGATAGCCGATCGGGTATACTCGGTTTTCGCAATTTTTTCAAGAAATAGTATAGCCGGTCGGCCATACTCGGGATTTAAAATTTTTAAACTTGGTTTTTCCCATTTTTTAAAGATATAGTATAGCCGCTCAGCTTTACGCGTTATTTTAATTGTTTTGTAAAGAGATAGTATAGCCGGTCGGCGATACCCCTTTTTTAATTTTTTTAAAGCAATAGTAAAGCCGTGCGGCGATACTAGGTTTTTCGACTTTTTAAATTTTTTAAACAAATAGTATACCCCCGGCTATACCCCTCTTTTCTCCCCCCACCCCCCTTCTCTCTCCCCAATTTTTCGCATCAATCAACCCAGGCATGACAACATCCTTTCCAACTTGGATTTTCCATGATTTTCTT